GCTAGCTAAGCTGCTCTTGTTGCGTAGTTTCTTGGCGTAGCGTTTAGCCGTATCGCTGGTAATAGCAGGCTTGCTTCAACACTTGCAGGTATTAATAGAGCGGTTCTAAAGACTCCTAGCACCTTTCTACACGCGAGATTGTGGAGTGGTTGGAGTAGCTTTGTTGCGTAGCTTTGTGAGTGCCAGTATACTGGTGCTCCGTAGTCTGCAACGCTAGTAACGCACGCTAAGTAGAGCTGCCTAATGGCGTAGGGAGAGAGGCCTGTCTCTATATTTGCTAGTCTCCCTATCCTCTGGAAGGCGGCTTTGGCTTGGCTGGCACGCACTGCTATGTGTTCTCTAAAGGATAGCCGGTTGTCGAGGTAGATGCCTAGCCATTTTACTGTGTCTTTTGGCTCCACTATAGTGTTATTTGGTAGCCTAAGGGCTATTTCTTTTCTCTTCTTCTTAGCGGTAAAGTGGATAAACTCTGTTTTTGCCGCATCAAACTTGATTGCTAACTCTTTGCCTTTAGCATTGAATTTCCTTTGCGATGAAGGAAAGCGCTCAATGTATAGAGTTGGGGCACGTAGTGATCTTCTCTAGGCGTTGTAGACGCTGCGACGAGGCTGGGCACCACTCATGGACACGTGAAAAAACAGAACTCACTGTATGTAATTTATATGACAAAATTGTAAATAGCGTACACAACGCACCGGTAGATTTTATGTACTCAGGTAGTAGTTTTATTGTTTGGAGCTTCAGCTGGATGCTATGATTAATCGCCAATTGCTTCTCTGGCTCTAAGAAGCTCTGTTACTATCTAAAAAGTATGTGGCAAAATACTAGCAACTACTGTATTAAGATAGGTGGTTTATCCGCAAACTCATAAAGAATAATAACATTTCTTTTGCTTAACAATAACGACAATGATATGATAATAACACAGGACAGCTCCGAACGATGAAACAAACATAAAGGAAAAAGAAACTCGCTACAGTAGCTGCCAGGCGCAATGGTAAAGCTGCAAGTACCTCTACAGTGCCTCGGAACAAATTGAAATTTAACAATACAAAACAAGGACAAGGACATGGGTGAAACAAAAAAAGAAATTGTAGCTAACAGCTTCATGGCTTTTCAATGCTGTTAGAGACCGTAGGAATTTTTCTTTTCAACTCACAATTCGAAACTCTCGGACATGAGCCGCTGCTGTGGTTGGTATGAAATAAAGTTGTGGCGGTCGTTGCCGACATAGCACAGCCGGCCACTTCCGTCGAAATCGAACTCGTCGCTGCCAACTGACATATGACCAAACAATAGATGGTCTGGGTCGTACTTGTGCTTGATCTGAAGCAGGCGGTCATAGTTGACGCCATATGCAGCCTCCTTCCAGTCACCCTTGTAGAGAGGGTCGACTTCGTTAAGGTAGACGCCAGAGTTTGGTGTTGCTTCATCCATAGCAGGCGCGTAGATATCAGCCAGCTCCTGCTTTAGGGCAACGTTTTTCTCGGTGGGAGCCTCGTAGTCCCAGAAGCCGTTGGCAATGCAGACGGCTTGGGCAGTACGCCACGCAGGCAGCACGGCATTGTCGGGATGCCCATTATCAGGCAGATTGAACACACCGCAGCCCATGAGAAACTTGTTCTCATGAACGATGAGTCGCATCGTATCTACGAGTTTCTTGTTTGCTTTCTTGTCTTGGATCACCTCGCGAGGGATCAGACGCGCATGCAGGATCGTGGTGACCGGCTCGGCGCCGTCAGGGAGTGGTCCGTAGTAGTGGTCGAAATGGTCATAGTAAGTTTCGGAGTGCACGGTTTTGAAGGTGTAGTTCTGACCCAAATTATCCAAGTCTCTCAGTAAAGGAGCCATCAAGCGGTTTACAGCGGCAACGTCTTGGCCGGGCAGGTTGATAGCTTGGGCATCGAGGGTGCTGTTCAGCAACACGAATTGCGCCGTGTTGCCGTTGACGGTAATCTTCGGGAAATACTCGTACCACAGCTCCACTGCCTTCCAGTAGACCTCGTTACCAGGGGTATCAGTGTTGTTAAAGACGAGTGATCCGCCTGCGAATTGGCCGTCCTTGAAGATTCTGACAGTGATGCCAATGACCACGCCATATGTTCCACCGCCGCCGCCGCTGAGCGCCCAGTACAGGTCTGAGTTCTGCTCGGGCGTAGCGATAAGATGACGGCCATCAGTAGTGACAACTTCCCATTCGAGAACTTGGTCAGAACCTAGGCCATTCTGGCTTGCGAGGACCGAGTGACCACCACCCTGTGAGTAGCCACCAGCGACACCGACAGTACCGCATTCACCACCAACAATGCGGTAACCATACTTGTGGACTGCCATGTAAGACTCGCCGACACCCATGCCGGCTCCGAGCCTTGCAGCAGGTCCATTGTAGTGCTTGCTCTTGTATTCGTGGATGATTTCGGTGTCTTTGAGGTTGTACACCCAAAGGGCGAGACTGCTAGCGCCACTAGAACGTCCATGATAACTGAAATACATTAGCATCAAAATGTGTACTTTTCACATTGTGTAAATCTTACTCGTGTCCAGTGTTCTTGACCACTAGTCGAATATTCTTCTCCTTTGCAAACTGAATGCCAGCAACAACATCTCTGGCACTCGTAACATTTATGGAATAGCTGGCGTAGTTACCCAACTCGCATGGCGTCTCAGGTGATGTGAATGGGTCGCACGTGCGGTTTTGATAATATGGGTTCATAATCTCAGAGGCGTGCGTCACACTGTTCTATCATTAGTTATCGCTATTTCGACATGAAACAAGTCGATTACTTACTGAATCTGGCCCATCTCCCACACCTTAAACTTCCAGTGCCTAAAATCCCAGTCCTTCCTCAATTCGTCGCATGCTGTCTTATTGTATACTCCAAACGGTTCATAATGGCAGACAGCACCTAGGGGTACAGTCTGAATGAGGTGGCCGCTAACGGTCTGGTTGAGTTTCTGCCATTCCTCGGTCGATGGCCACTCAGGATCACCGTGGATGTACTTGCAGCCGGGCTGCGGTGAACTCCCAGCCAGCGCAAGTGAAGTGAAAAGCAAGAGACCTTCTACGAACACCATGTTGGCGTTTGATATTGACGTACGAATTCTTGAATAGCAGAATGCAAGTTGGAAGATTATATACTTCATTATCTGCACATATTAATTGTTTACTGAGCCCGAGAGTGTCCCACCAAGATGCCCCTTAGTTCCAAAAAAACCGTTCATTACTACGTCACTAGAGCAAGTACACGAGTTAGAAGATGACCGAAGCACACTGCAAAGCCTCAGTCGGTGATTGTGAAACCTTCGGATACCTGTGCTTTGATGGGGCGCCGATTCGGATGAGAACCACCGAAGGGCTGAAACGGGTCGGACGTGGTCTTTAATTAGGATCTATCCTGCAGTACAGAGGTGGCTTTCAAAAGTTCTTGCTAACAGGGGTACATTAATTACCACTAAAATTACGGCCAAAGCTATACAAATTAGTCTCGCCGCCTTTCTTTATACTTATTACTACTTTTAAGCTTAATAATTTTTTAAATATAAAATAAAATACCCTTTATCTAAGCTTAAATTTAGTATTAAAGTAGCTTATCTTAATACTACTTCTATATTTTTATGCCTTTTGCCTAGCTTCTTGATACGCCTTTATATATTATTCTTCTTTTAAGCTAGAGCTAAGCTACTTTGATAGTATTAAGATTAAGTAAATTACCTAGCTATAAGACCTTCTTTACTTTAGCGTTTTAGTATATAGCTTTTTAAGCGTAATAGATATATAAAAAAGCGTTATTTTTTTAAATCAAAATACGTAGTCTCTATTTTTAGCACTCTACGATAGAAGAAATTAGCTTTAAAATAAGAACTTAAGTCTAGTAACGCTACTAATTAATACTACAATAACTATTTTTATAATAGAGCTTACTTATCTCTTTTATTTATCTCTATTATAAAGCTTCACTAGGCTTATTATATAATTTTAGCTTCTTTATATTTATTATAAGCTTCTACGCCCCTTTTATAAGAGGCTTTAAAGTCTTTTTTAACTCTTCAATTTAAAAAGCTATCTCTTTCTTCTCTTATATAGTCTTAGGCTTTTGAATATAGTGAAAACTTTTATAGTTCTATATAAAGTAGCCTTAGAATATAAATTTAGAATAGCTTTTTTACTACTTCTAAATAACACTCTTTATAAAGAGCTCTTTTAGGCGTTACTAGACGTAATAGCTACTATAATAGTAGTTAGTTAAGTATAATAAAAGTCTTGTCTAACTAAATAATATTCTTTTAGTCTTTAAGCATCTAATTTTTATAAGTAAGACACTACTTAAGTCTTTTTCACTTTATCTTTTTTATTAACTTAGGCGTTCTTATTAGCTTTATCTTATTATAACTAGCTATATAAAGAACTTTCTATACAATAAAGAGTAATATTATATAGCTATAAGTACTAAAGTTACTAGCTATATTAGCGTAGCTTTTTTTTCTTTTATACTTATTGTAGTGTAGTTTCTTAAAAGTAAAATTATATATATTTTTTTATTTATAAAAGTAGCTTATATAAAGGTATTTTTTAAGTACTATAAAAAGATCTTAATCAGGCTTGCGTTAGGTTTGAAGCTTTACTAGTAGGATCTACTGTAAATTAAGTTAATTATACGTAGTGATATACTTATTATGTTAGTAATTTTATATATAAATTTGCTACTAAAAAGTAACTCTAATAGAATAATAGAAAAGTAGGTTAATATATTAGTATTTAGAGCTATAGCAAATTAAAAACACTATAAAAAATAAGGATAGTAGCTATTGCTAGCTTCAAAGAACTAGTATAGGAGCTGAGAAAATTTAAGCTAATAAATTAGCGGCGTAGCACGGCGCTAGCAAGAACTTTTGAAAGCCACCTCTGTAAACAACCAATAGCGTGGTGATGGGCGCTAGTAGGGGCATGTATGCGCTAGTACAACCCTGGCATCGCCGATGGCGCGATTGGCTCTTCCCTCACCCCTTAATACGTGTTCGGCTAGAAAATAGTTCTGTAGTTCACGTGGAGCCAATAAGAGACCAGGCACTCCCAGATGTTACCAGCTTGAGCAAATCCCTGCCTGCTATTACCACGTTCAATCAAACTGACCGGTCAGTTTTACTAGCTTCGATGGCTTGCTCAAATGGCTTGAACGGTGATCGACTATCATAAATCTTACCGCATGCCTGGTGGTTGACACAGTGCTCGGGGCCAACACTTGCCCCGATGTCTTACTATCCATCACTATATTTCGACCAATAAATAACGATCTCACTGGAGTAGTCAAAATTATGTCACATTCTGCAAAACTAAGTCGTCACCCTTCTCCATTAGGTGTCTGAATTGTTAACCATTTGTACGGTCTTGCAGACAATTTTCCAATCTTCAACCAGAATGGGGACCCATTAAATAGTTTGGTTTCGATTGGAGCGAGGATCAAAGAAAATGCATTTGCACTATGTAGCACTCGTATACAATCATTGTACATACTGCCCTAGTTCACTCTCTTATTTTGCACCACACATGACGTGGAAATCGAACAAATAGACCAGCCATCAATTCCTACATATGGAGATGAGCAGATTCGTATGATGAGAAAAAGACTCACCCTTTTCCCCATCACATCAGGTATCAGGAACTACATCGTATCGTGTCCCTCTTCCTCACCCTTACAAACCCTTGAGCATCGAACGCTCCCTCAACAACTCCCCCCAACGCAACAGTGCAAGACTCACTACCAAAAGTGGGATGCAAACGGCTGCCAAAAGGGTATTGCCCCAACCCACTCCAAATTCGTCGTACAAACTGAGGCCAATTAGCGGCAAGAATGCGCCGGCCACCGAGCGCACCGCTGTGAGAGCTGCGACAGCTGAAGCAGCGTGAATGGCAAAAGAGTCAATGAGATACATCTGAAGCACCATGTACAACAGTAGTTGCCCACATCCGATGAAGACAGTGCCGATAACGGGTATACTCCAGTGCAAACGCAGTTCGACGGTCCAGCCGTAGACTAGGAGCCCAAATATCAAGCAAAGTACAGCAAACGGAAGGGGAGGCAGACGGAATTCAGGTTTAAGGACCGCTTCCGTAAATTCTGAGCTATTATTTGCAGAAGTGGCCGCCTCACAATCGGAGGACATGGCGGCAGCGGCTTTAGCTTTCAGAATTCTGTCTGAGACTGCGCTGAATACGCCGACGCCGAGAAAGGAGCCTAGGCCCAACCCCAGGAAGCAGATACCGACACTGCTGGTGTTGAAGCCATAGTACTCCTGAAATACTTCCGTAATGGAAGTAAAGAGAACGTCTGCAGTACCGCGTCAATTTAGGTTCCACATGCGGAAAGGAAAGCTACTTACACATGTATCCGTAGGTAATTGCAATGAAGATCGATGTGATGATGACGATGGGCGACGAGGTAAGCATTTTCATCGGGCGCACGATGTTAGTTACGAAGTACGCCAGCGGTGACAGACCAGCATCGAGCTTTGATCGCAAATCCATTTTTCCTGTAACCTTGCGCATAGCTGCAACCTTACGGGCAAGTATCACCGTGCAGTATGTCTCCCTTAGGATGAATATCTGCAACACGGAGAAAATGGCACCCGAAATGGCCAGCAGCCAGAAGTCCCAGCGCCACCCAAGGACATGCGCAAGAAGGCCACCCACCATTGGGCCCAAAATGGGCGCAAAAAGTGCACCAATGCTGTAGCCAGCCATGACCTTGGCCCTCTTTTCTTGAGGAATCATATCTGTGATTGAGCCTCCACCGATAGTCGCGGGGCAGGATCCGAAGAGGCCATTGAGAAATCTAAAAACAATAAGGGAATGCATAGTGGGTGCAAGTGCGCATGCAACAGCGAAGCCAGTAAATCCGACATTGCAGATGTGATAAACAGGCACTCGACCATAAATTTCGGACAATGGCGCAATAACCAATGGACCAGCAGCAAATCCCAGAATGTAAACGGAGACCACAAAGCTGGCGAGTTGAAGGTTGTCGATTTGGAATTCGGCCATGATTTGAGGAACGCCCGGTGCGATTATGGCTTGAATACGTCAGCAACTAGAGTGTAATTTATTGAATGAATGCTTTTTCCTATAAACTCACAAGATGCAAGCGCAGTCAAAAATGTCATGCCACTGATGAGGAGGCAATTGGACAGGGTTTGCCAGCGAGGCCAATTGTAGGGATGTTCAGCGTCCCCATCCTCAAAATCGATAATTTGAGAGTCCTCAATGTCGTCGTCCGGATCGAGGGTGATTAAGCCTCGCTCTTCTATGAGCAACGGCGTACTTTCATCGATTTCTTCATCGCGGGTCTTGCGACCTGAAGATTGCGTTGCCGACATATTTTTCGACTCTACTGTAGGTACAATATTTGGTTGAATGGAAGTGAAAGATAAGAAAATGAACGAGAGTATTGGAAAGAAAAGAAAAGAAGAATAAAGTAACGAATGTGTGACGGCGGTGTCTTGTCTGAGAACGCCGGTTAGGCACGGAAACTGCTCTGTTGTGAGTCAGTGATATATTGTTGAAACAAAAACAATGTCGACCTACTGCAGCTCAGTTTCAGGCCCGTGGACGGAAATAAGGCAAAAAAGTCCGCTGCTAGCAATCTGACGAATCGGCGCCGACAGTTCGTATCCATCAGCTAAGTGGGTCCCACGATTTTCAGTTTGCATTAATTAACTACCGCTTTGAGCCTAGTAGCTATATATAGGAGTTCGAGCCCTACTTAGATAGGCAGGCAGGTCTGAGAGCGAACTGGTTCCATTGATTATTACCGAGCCTCTCGGAGCCTCATGTGGCTTTGCTTTGAATGGGATCTGCCAGTTCGGAGATAGAAAGATCTGATTGGTTGCTTCCTTCCGATTCACGTCTGAAATGTCATACCACTGTTGCTTTCCCGTGTCCCTGACCGGCCGTTGTAGATTGTCAGCTATCTGGTCAACATTTCGTCATATATATGTTCTCATGGTGAAGACTCAGTGTGCTGCCAATTACATGTCCTGAAAATGGCTGCCCTAGATGCCAGTATGAAGGAAGTTAGGGGATTGGTCAATTCCATTCCCCTAACAACGCCTAATCTGTTGCTGTTACTTACGGGCGGGGTATGATTCTTTCCCTCTTTGATTGTGCTCAAAGCTGATGCTTGTTCTTAGGTCTTCGTATATTCCATTGGGCAAATTGTCTACAACCTTTATTTCCATCCTCTTGCGCGCTTTCCAGGTCCTCTGTTATGGCGGGCAACTCGTTTAGCATACGTTGTTCGAATGAATCAAGGCAAGCTAGCCTTCGATGTTCTGGAATTGTACAAGAAATACGGCCCTATCGTGCGCATCGCGCCTAATGAACTCGCTTTCTCAGATGCGGATGCCTGGAAGAGTATTTACGGACACAGGGTAGGTGCAAATCATGGTATGGAGGAAATGGACAAGTTCCATACCTTTTATCGAACCAAAGGTGAGGTCTTGAGCATCAGTTCTGGAGATCGTGAGTACCACGCCCGATTGCGAAAACAGTTGGCATTTGGTTTCAGCGAGCGTGCGCTCCGAGAACAGGAGACGATGATCGGCCGTTACATCACACTCCTCATAAAACGCCTGCGTGAGCATTGCGTCGACTCCGATCGGATCGACCAGGCCACTGGAGGACCTGCTAAGAAGGATATTGACATTAAGATGTGGTACAACTGGACAACATTTGATGTTATCGGTGATCTTGTCTTTGGTGAGGCGTTTGGAAGCCTTGAGAATGCCAAATACGATCCTTGGGTCGAGGCGATCAACGGTTCAATTCGATTCTTGGGTATCATCAACGGAGTCAAGCACATGGGTCTCGAAAGCCTCTTCATGTGGCTCGTCAAGCTGACCAACACCAACCGCGCTGAGCACGACAGGCGTATAATGGACAAATTAGATCGCCGAGTCGCTTTGCAACAAGAGAGACCAGACTTGATTGAGGGCTTAATTCAGAAGAGAAAGGAATGGGTGAGTGTATTCAGCTTTCACACCTTTTATTGAACTGCCAAATAAATATTTTCTAATACTGCGTAGGGTCTGAGCATGCACCACCTATCGGCCAATAGCAGCAGTGTACTTATCGCTGGATCAGAGACGACCTCAAGCATGCTGAGTGGCGTTACCTACATGCTTTTGACCAACCCCGACGCATATCAGAAGGTGGTTCACGAAGTGCGCACGTCGTTCAACTCTGATGAAGAGATAACTCTTACCTCAGTGAGTCGTTTGACATACATGCTGGCATGTTTGAACGAAGCTATGCGCTCTTATCCACCAGTTCCATTCGGTATGCCTCGTTTTGTTCCGAAGGGAGGCGCTAAGGTGTCCGGAGAGTTTATTCCAGAAGATGTAAGTTGAGGTGGATCCTTCCATTTACATACATACGCATGCTAATGTGCCTACTAGACCGTGGTCGCCGTGTGGCACTGGGCCACGTATCACAATCCTGCCCATTGGACCGACCCTTTTACTTATAAGCCGGAACGATTCCTCGGTGACCCAAAATACGCCAATGATCGATTTGATGTCCTGCAGCCTTTTTCCATGGGGCCGAGGAATTGCATTGGCAGACAGTATGCACCCTTATTATTGCTTGCATTCTGACAATCTGCTGATCTTTTTGTAGTCTCGCATACGCCGAAATGCGTTTAGTGCTCGCTCAGATTCTCTGGAACTTCGACATGGAGATTCTGGAGAAGAGTAGGTCTTGGATAGACCATCTTTCATATGTTCTTTGGGATAAGCCTCCTCTATGGGTACATCTAACTCCAAGGACCCGGTGAGAGGCTTCATGCATTGGCCAATGCCATGCGACGTTTAAAATTCAGGATATTGGAATAGGCAAAAAAAGCTTGCAGCGGGCCTAGATGGGAAGTTTCACATAATTTGAGTATATATAGGGGGTGTCTTAAACTGGCGGGCCAATTCGTTTACATTAAAGTTTAGTATACAGTTCTGGTTCATCATAGGTTCGGTAAACGATTTCTAAACATAGCGGAAAGCCTTTTCCTTTATATATTGCTCAGCATTTCCTCATGATTCATTCGACGAAACTCTATTTTTGATCAAGGACTTATCATTTCTACTTGTACAAGGCACAGCAGCTAGGCTAATCACATATTCGCTGTACATATCAATTCTCTGGTCCTTGTCAGTCCATGATTGATCTTCACAGATCAATTGCCTGATGAATAATGACGTTCAAGTATCGTAATTGATTATGATCAAATCCAAACCTGTCTAGCGCTTTTCTACACAAAGGGGAGATAATACAGCCCCTAACTTACTACAATTCTACCACGTTCAACAAATCGAGCAAAAATCCCAATGTTGGAAGTCCAACAAAGCATTCGGTCAGCTTTAGCCAATCAACATCATCGCGGTAAAGAGAAAGAGAAAGCTTGCCGATGTCGACGAGTCGTTAGGGGCTCGGAGTCGGCTGGCGAATTTCGGAATCGGAGTCGGAGTCGGAGTCGGAGGAAGTCGTCAGCCGACTCCGAGTTGCTTCATCACCTTCTTGTTGCTATTATTACAAAACCTGACTCAGGATACGACAACGCTTAGACAATAGTATCTTTTTGCAGACGCTTGCCAATGCATACACGATTGCATGCAGCATCGTAATAATAGGGGTGACTTAAGTAGACCTGACCGACAGACGTCGCATGATTCAATCTCAATTATTAGCTAATTATGCGAATGCTCTGCAACCTAAGCCGAAACATATCACGAGCCCGAAACACAGTCTCCAGGTTTAATTCGATCATGTCTCAGAAGAACGTTCAATTGAGGGCCGCAAGTCAGTGAATTCCACATGCTGAGATGTTGCGCCATGTTGACCTAAAAAAGGCCCTTACGAGCGTCGCCTTGCCATTCGCGAAGAACTCAACTTCTACAACGCTATGGTGCTTGGAGCAGTGTATGAGTTTTCTGATCCTAAGTTCAACGTCAAATCTATTCGTTCTTTCGTGCGTCCCTTGAAGAGCATCATCGAAAAACATGCATTCATGGGCGTAGTATTGAACGGAAAGGATACGGAGTCACCGGTTTGGGAGCGTGTACCTAGTGTCAAGCTGGATAATCACATCACCATCCTGGATGAGGCTCAGAATCCTGATGAATTGTTTTGGATTGAGAAAGCCCTGCCTACTATCGTTGATACAAGAACGAGCGGGCCTTCGCCTCCATGGCGGGTTTACGTATTACCTCTTTTGCCAAAGAACGGCAGACCGTGCGCCTTCGTCGCTTTCGCCATGTCCCACTCCATCGGCGATGGTGGGGCTGCAATTGTCTTCCTTCAAGCCCTCCGCGAAGCCTTGCAACAGTCTAGCGGTGTTGACAACAATTTCGAGGTTGTGGTGCCCGAACGCGAGCTACCAGAGCCTTTTGACACGCCCGAGAGACTTCCTATCTCGCCTGAGTTCTTGAAGTCAATCATGAGCTCAAGTGTCGTTGGTGCCGGAACCTGGACCGGGTCAAAGGTATTTATGAGCGAGGGAGGATTGCAAACTAAAATCCGAATGCTCGAGGTCCAACCACAGCATGTGGAGGCTGCTCTACAGGCAGCTCGCGTCCACGGCACCAAGCTTACGCCTCTTATTCACCAACTCATCGTCCGCGCTTTGAGCAAGGTTGTAGTGGATAAGAACGTGCAAGATTTTGCGTCCACAACTGCCTTTGATTTGCGTAGCGCAAGTGGTGTAGGACTGGAGTGGGGCCTCTATATCTCTGGACATAGTGCTTCACATCCGCGGGTCAGTCCCTCCAGCTCCATATCATCAGATGAGTGGCAATCTGCAAGGACACTCTCAAAGAAATTGGGGGAAGTAGCATCAACGCTTGATAACCAGGTGATTGGTATGTTGAGATTCGTCCCTAACCATAAGGAGTCAATGACTTCTAAGATTGGCTCTACGCGCGATGCCAGCTACGCTCTTTCAAATATGCTTGCCTTTGATGGCGGCAAGGCCGAAGACAGTGTTAGGACGACCAAGTTGATCGTCACTAGTTCGGCTGCAGTTCCAAGTGCACCACTCAGTTTCTGTCTCATAAGCGTCAAGGGCGGTAGCCTAGTGTGTACTCTAAATTGGCAACCTGGAGCTTTGGGAGTTCCCCTGGAAAAGGAAGATGCGTTCATCAACGGCATTTGTTCGTCTCTAAAAGCCGACTTCGCTAACTTAGAGCAAGCGGTCAAAGCACCACGCGCTCGTATCTAGAGAAAGAGCTTGAAGATACTCCATAGTATCACGCTAGCTGTTATTTTTCCTTATGTATATTGATTATCGCAATAACCATCGTGTATTTCATCATATCTTACAGCTAGAAGTAGCTCCTAATCAGTTTGGAGAATGCGAAGCTACAATACAGCTCACGTCTGCTACACATTGGCCTTGTGCAGTCCTCTCGTATCAAGCACGCGCGTCATATCCCTGAGTTGTCTCCAGAAATGAGCCTGGCCCTAAAATCAGCCTCCCACTTAGCTTACAGAGGGGTGACAGTAAAAAAAAACGTAATAGAAAAAACGCTAATTTTTAATTTTATATATCTTAGCTAATAAGATAGCTAAATATAAGTAAAGTAGTCACACGTTCAACTTCGAGTTTTCTGGAAACCGCTAGGAAAGCACGCTATCTAGGAGAACCGACCATCTATCTCCACAGTCCTTGCTAGAAACACTAAGGAGATACAACATTACGCCTTTACACCTTAGAACTCAAATATCCTATATAAGGTCTTTAATAAGCGCGACAGCGTTTACCACGTTGTTCACAATAAGATCTATAGTAATTAGTGGAGGACGCATATGCTTCTGCTGAAACTGATTCCATTCGCTACGTATCTGCCGATCCATCTTCAGAGGCTCTGGGCCGAGACTCTAGTCCAGAGCTACTCTTTTTCCAACTCGCTACTCGGCACCTGATCGACTTCCTCCTGCGGCTTATGTCTAACGTTGCTTAGCGCGGGCCTTGCCTTCTTGACCTAGGTGGCGTTTTGACAGTATTTCGTGATATGACCTAGCTCTCCGCAGCGATAGCAGTTAGGCGGAGGTTGTTGTGGCTTGCCTCTAGCTTCTCGCGCCTAATTAACCTTCAAAGGCTCCTAGTCTATAACGTCTGGACTAGCTTCGTGTTGAGCGGTTGTTGTAGTAGGGCGATCTACCACCTAGGAGCTCGTTGCGCGCAGTTTAACGAGACCTACCTAGTAGAGGTTGTCGGACGTTCTTACTGCCTTATTGACTAGCTGCTCGTACGATACATTCTTATTAATTGTAGCAAGAGCCTCCTGCAGCTTAGTGTGAAGGCCCTTTAAGAACATACTCTTCTTAGCTGCTTCGCCGAACTGCTCGCCTGACTGAATCTTAAGACAGTTAAACTCCATGTGATAGTCTCTTACTAAGAGCTTGCCTTGTTTAAGAGTTAAAAGGCAATTAAGTGCTTTAGACTTCTAGTGTGGGTCGTTAAACTGCTAGTCCATAAAGCTCTAGAGGTCTTCAATGTAGCGTTTACTCTGGTTCTGTATTGCCTAGGGTAGAAGTACATCCACTACCTTGCCCGTACACCTACTAACCACGTACTCGATCTAAGCGAGGCTTAAAGTTCCTTCGTACTTTTGCTAGAGCTTAGCTTAAGTCTTGTATTTAAACGCTACGTACTTCGTTTAATCTCCATTAAATGGTTCTAGGTGCGGGAACTTGTTCCTGCGCGCAGCTGGCTTGGCGATTGCGGCTGCTGCTAGGGGAGGCGTAAAGGCTCTATAGGACGACTCTAAACGCCCCTCAGCTTGGTTACGCTCGAGTGCCACGAGCCGTTCTGTTAGCACCTAGTTCTGGGCTGTTAACCGATTCATCAGCTCCATTATCTAGACCATGGCATCCTAGTTGGCCTTCGGCGAGCCTCCTTGCCTTAGTGAGCCCTTTCCTCCCACAACGGCCAATCGTTTAGCGACCGCTTTAATCGTTGGCCTAATTGCTGCCTCCTTCTATCCGTCCTCTCTAAGCATTTGTGTAATTTCGCGCAGGATCTCTTCATCTGATACTCCTGCCTAGTTCTTAGCAGCAGCGTACGCCGCCAGCTCTTCTATATTCAAGTTTAGAACGTTAATCTCTATTGCCTAATTCGTTTTGGACGTCTCGTTCTTTGCCTGCTAATATGCAGGGCTTCCAGTCGCTCTTCGATCCGCTCGCGCAGTCCTAGACTGCGGCCTACTCCTCGTCAGTGAGGACTAGTAGGGCTTACCCTTGGCTGTCCTTGTTACTAGCTAGAATCTAAACAGCGTTCTGTCGCTGTTGTGTCGCGTCCCTAGGAAGACTCGCGTCTTGCCGTCTCGCTCGTGGGATCTCGTCTCCTATTAAGAGTAATCGCACGGCCTGCACCTCGTCTAATAGAGGATCAACAGGACTTCTTACTACAACGTCCGCTTCTAGCTAACTGTACACTGGGCCCAAGTGGCCTTTAGGTAGTTTATTACGCGACGTTGTGCCTACAGCTCGGCTTTCTAAGACACAATAGGACTTCCTAGACAGGTCTTAGGCGACTAATTCGCCTACTATCTCTCACAGCTAAACTTCCTGCGAAGCTCTGCCCTAGGTGTACTATCTTGCGACGGTCTACCTTCTCGCTGCACTAAAGGCCTTTCGTACCTATTGCAGCACTAACTCTATGTTACTAGCTCGCACTAACAACACGCTCTAAAACTTAGTTAGAAGATAGTCTGCCTAAAGCTTGTGTCTAATTAGGATTAAATATAAAATGTAAGAGGCTGCGCTCTAGGGGAGCAATCGCGAGGTATACAAGAGGTTGTATTTAATAGAGAGCTATAGAGTCTACTTGCGTGGTGTTTATTTACTTGTCGGAGAAAGGTTGCACCAAGTGTCTGAGCGCGTCGTCTGGGCGCCGCTCAGGCCTCGCACAGATGCCGGGTTGCAGAGTAAGACCTGGCGTCTGCTGCTTGACCGAGATTCCATCGAGGAGCTATCCAAAGGGCGTTCAGCCCGTTACACTTTGTAGCTAAGGCATTAGAATAAATAGATAGAAGGCTATTATCTACTAGTTGTTCCTTATAGTTCTTTACTTCTATATCTTTAGGCTCTTTAGATATATCTACGGATGCCTATGCTATGCACTAATTAGCAAGAGATTCGCTTACCGCCACCGTCTAGAGCGCTTTTAGATCCCCTCTTAGATAATTAAGAGAGTAAATAGCAAGCTATTAGAGATTAGCGAGGTTGCTTAATTCTTATTAAAGATGCATAGGTATAAAGAGACTGCTTATGCATACGTGATGGACTTGTCCTCTAGTAAGAACGTGTACCTTAGTAGGGGATGGATAGACCACTAGGACGTATTAGTATCTCCTGCTAAGAAGAGTATTTTTATCTACTTAAAGGGCATTTAAGTGAGGTTAACTAAAGGACGCCTACAAGGAGGAGTTAGCTAAGTTAACGCTGCAGCGTTTACGGCCTTAGTTCGTAGGCATAAGAACGCTCTAAATAGCGTTTAGATCTTCGCCGCGTCAATTGCAGACATTGACAAGGCGCTACAACCAAAGAAGCCCGTAGATGTACGAGCGCTGCTACCAACACAGTACCAGGAGTTCTATGAGCTCTTCAACCTGAAGCAAGCAGAGAAGCTTCCACCACACTAAGGGCCAGGGGTGGACCACAAGATCGAGCTAGAGCCAAAGGATGCTTAGCTACTATAGGGACCCCTCTATAGCATGTCGCGTGGAGAGCTCCTAGTCCTTAGAAAGGAACTTATATTGCTTCTTAAGAAGGGATTCATCCGCGTAAGTAGCTCGCCAGCCGTAGCGCTAGTATTGTTCGCCAAGAAACCTAGAGGAGGGCTTTAACTGTGCATCGATTATCGAGCTCTAAACGCAATTACTAAGAAGAACCGGTACCCGCTACCCCTTATCTAAGAGACACTTAATAGCTTAAGCAAGGCTAAATAGTTCACAAAGTTAGACGTTATCGCAGCCTTCTACAAGATCTATGTCGCACTAGGCAATAAGTGGAAGACAGCCTTCTAAACAAGATTTGGACTATTTGAGTGGCTAGTTACCCTCTTTAGCATGGCGAACTCCCTAAGTACTTTTCAACGATACATTAACTAGACCTTAAGAGAACACCTAGATGACTTCTGCTTAGCATACCTGGACGACGTACTAATCTACACTAATGGCGATCTGCGCCAGCACCAAGAGCACGTCCAAAAAGTGCTTAGCAAGCTGCAAGCTGTAGGGCTATAGGTAGACATCAAGAAGTGCGAGTTTGAAGTTAAGACAACTAAGTACCTTAGGTTCATTATTAAAGCAGGTAAAGGGATAAGCATGGATCTAGCTAAGGTAGCCGCAATCCGCGAGTGGGAGGCACTAAAGATAGTTAAGGGAGTAAGATCGTTCCTAGAGTTCGCGAACTTCTACTAAAGGTTTATTAAGAACTTCGCGTAGCTAGCCACACCCCTTACTAGGCTTATAGGTAACGTCCTCTTCTAATAGGGATCTAAAAAGTAGTTAGCCTTTGAGAAGCTAAAGGAGATCTTTGTTACAGAGCCCACGCTGGCGGCGTTCGACCCAGATTGGGAGACAGTGCTCGAGTGCGATTTGAGCGGCTACGCGGTGGGCGGGGTGCTATCACAGTACAACGATGATGGAGTCTTACGGCCTTGCGCGTTCTTCTCGTGGAAGAATAGCGCGCACAAGTGCAACTACAAGATCCACAACAAGGAGTTGCTCGCGGTAGTATGATGCCTTAAGGAATAGGATTCTAAGCTGCGTTTAGTTAAGAAGTTTAAGGTAATTATAGATCACAAGAACTTAGAGTACTTTATAAAACCTCGCATGCTGAACGAGCGCTAGGTGAGATGGTCGCTTCTACTTGGTAGGTACAACCTAGAGCTGCTGTATTGGCCAGGCAAGCAGAATGTGAGAGCTAACGCGCTCTTGAGAAGAGAACAAGACCTGCCTGTAGGGGTAGAAGACAAGCGCTTGTAGAAGCGTTTTATATAAATATTTAAGCTAACAAACTCCTATTAGGAGATAGTAGAAGAAGAACTAGAAGAGGAACTAGAAGAAGCTATTTTAGTAATGGCCACGAAAACACGAAGCTAACAGCGGGAAGAAGAGGCTGTTGCTCTAGCTGAAGAAGAACTAGGCTAACTACCTCCTAGAGAACTAGACAAAGAAGCGTTGGAGCAGAACGAGTTAGAGAAGCTTTAGC